GGCTGGGCTATGCTGGGCTACGCTGGGCTGGGGTCGTGGCCCACGGGCACCGCTCATCCTGGGACCCCACGACACCTGCCAGACTCTCCGGGAGCTGTGAATGGGGCACGGGAGGCAAGAGGATGCTGCAGAAGCCGTCAGGGTGATAACGGAGACTTTCAACGTTGTTTGCAAATGATTTCAGTAAAACAAGAAACCACACAAAAAGAGGGAAAGCAGACTGCTAAAGCCTGCAAGAAAGTAAGAATCGTGTGTCCAAAGCAATATAAGATGTGTATGGCTTTACCAAACAGAAAAAAAGCACTGGTTCAGGTGGGAGGTGGGCTCTTGGGAGAGACAGCAACTGCGGGATCAGTCCCTGGGTAACACCCAAGTGCTCAGCGCTGTTCTCGCTTCACATTTCTACCCTGATGGGAGTTCTCCTTTCTGGGCGCTGTTACAGAACACAGCGGAACCCTGAGTTTGGAGCCGGGCATACGTGACTTCCGATGCCTCTGCTCACTGGCATGCGAGGTTGTTCTCAGACCGCCTCCTCCCACGCAGCCCAGGGTTAAGCTTATGCCTTTAAGCTTTAGGCTCTTCAGAGGAGATCTGAATTTGGGGGGAAGTGTTGCAGAAGTCCTATTGCTCCAGATTGAGGATTTTTATGGGTTCCTGTGTGTTTTTGGCAAGAGGGTGACAGAGGCTCTACCCGTTTAGAACAGGCTTGACATTGACACAAGGGTTGAAAAAGAAAAGAGGCCACCAACACCCCTCTGCCTAGCCATTTATTCCCACAGCAGAAACTGGTTCCTACCCACATGCAGTACGTGGAAACCAGACAGACAGGGAGGAAGGGAGGGGAGAATTCACAGTGGTCTCTGAAAGGAGTCATTGGAAGTGATTCTTCTTTCTTACTTTTATGCCTTTTTTAATATTTTCAAAATTTTTGGCCACGAATATACCGGAATATTCTTTTATCATTGGTAGAAAAATAAATAAATGTCTTTCAAAAAACTGGATAGAAAAGAAAGCCATCTTACAACAGATGCTGGGTGCAGCGTGCAGGGCCCAGCCAGACTGTCCACGGTGCAAAGGAGAGAAGTCTGTGTATGGAGATGAAGCATAAAAGCTCCCAGAACGTTAAAGCCACTAGAAACCCAGGTACAGCTGTGGCAGTGGTTTCAGCAGAAACCATCAGCCGGGCTTTGCAGCCTAAACAAAGAGGAAGCACTTAGCATCTCCCTGGTGGGAGGCTCAGCCCCGTCAGGCACAGCAGACAGAAGGGCTAGAATCAAATCCCAGCAGGTCTGCATTGCGCTTCCAGACATTCAGGACTGAGGAGGGCAAAAGACTGTCAAACACACAGAAACTTCCCTACAGAGATGCTGGCCTGCAATCTGGAAACAAGAAGAGATTTAATGTTTTCTCTGCTTCCACCAACTCAAAGGTAACAAGAGAAGGCAGCGAAGAATGGGAAGCAGAGCCAGGGCCTGGCAAGTCACAGTCAGCAAACATCAGTGGGGCCCGAAATTGCATCCTGGGCTCAGGGGGAACTTTGCTCTGGTTCTGCCACTAACCCCTCCGCCCCACCCCTACCCAGGACACCACATTCGGAGACTTGAACTAGTGCTATTACCCTACCCTCGTTTATTTGTTAAGTGCCCATGCTGCCAAGGAGGTGAAAGGCCACTTTCCCGACAGCCTGGGACAAAGGCAGCCGGTATTGACTTAGCCCTTCCCGCCACACAGACCCGGCCTCACCTCCAGCAGCCTGTCTCCCACAGAGGGTTCCCGCTCCCTGTCTGTTCCTGGGGTTCAGTTTGCCAGCAGAAAGCACTTTATACACAGTTCACTAATATCATAGGAGGACATCTCCAAAAGTGAAAAACGCTGGCCAGGCATAGTGGCTCACACCTGTAATCCCAGCACTTTGGGAGGCTGAGGTGGGTGGATCACCTGAGGTTAGGAGTTCGAGACCAGCCTGACCAACATGGCAAAACCCCGTCTCTACTAAGAATACAAGTGTCTTGGCGGGCGCCTGTAGTCCCAGCTACTCAGGAGGCTGAGGCAGGAGAATCGCTTGAACCCAGGAGGCGGAGCTTGCAGTGAGCTGAGAT